CGTCTCTGAGGTATCTTCCAGGTGTAACTAGTTTTTGAGTTTTGAATCTGTTGCAAGATCCTACATCTTCATTTTGTTGCTGATGAGAAGTTGCTGCCTGTTTGGTCCAGTCCCTAGTTCTTTGGCACTGTGCCACAGTATTTTCTGACCCTTAGTCAATCTCAGTCTTACAATACCAGAAAAAATAGCTGTTTATACCAATTTTATCACTTTTGGCTAAAGTGATACCATCAGCAGTAACAGTAGCAACAATCACAGCCTAGAAAATGACAAACTGAGGTAACCATTAATGTACCACCTTTAACCAACTAAACTAGATTTGTACTTATATAACAAAATCTATAACAGATGAGAAAATTATATGCAGTAGCTAAGTCCTTAATATGTTAATTTTGTGGTCAGGGGTTAAAGTTTAAAAGGGGTTAAGGAAAAAACAGAGAGGTAGAGGAAGAGGAATAGGTTAGAAGTAAGGCTGGAGGACAAAGGGGGATCACCCTAACTTTGGAAAAATGGAGCATAACACTGGAGGGAAAGAGAGAAGGAAGAGATAAAAAGAAGAACTGAACAGAACAACAAGCACAAAGAGGCTACAAACCATGTTCACACTCATAAGAACAAGATCAAGTAATGAAAGAGAAAAAAACAAAACAATAACAACAAAAAAAATGAGAGAGGGGAAAAGAAGTACACTTGCACATTTTTCTCTGCTGTCGCTGGTAAACAGTATGTGGAGACAGAGTCCCAATCTGTGCCAATCTATCCTAGCAAGCCAGCAGTAGCTTTTTGGCAGAATAATGGATAATCTCAGTGAGCCTATGCCTTCTGGCTAAGACCAGACTCATTCAGCATGCATCCATCAGCACACCTTCCTTGGGCCTGGGCCCAGCTGGGAGGCACTAGATGGAGCCAGCAGCCACTCTGAGTTCTGAGCTCAGCCAGCCCCTCTCCATGATGGCTCGCAGCCAATCGCTGCCTCCTGCATGACAACTGAGCCCTCAGCATTCACAACCACCATGTACAGTCTTCAAGTCCACTGCTTCCCTCCACTGCTGGACCCTCTGGTGTCACCAGCAGTCACTGTATGTCCTCAGGTTTGAGCCACTCCTCTCATGCAGTCAGTCCCATCTCAGGGAAAAGGTTTCACCTGCTACCTCCATCTTCTTCATTGAAGTCTCCCGCTTCACTCTCTCTGTGAGCTTCAGTTTGGGCCTCAGTTCCTTTCCGGGCCCAGGGGACCGCTTTCTCCTTCTTGTCTTCCTGATGTTGCTATATTCCAGCATCTGGACAGCAACACTCAGAAAGGCTCTTTCTCTGCTGCTTACTACTCCACCATCTTGGTACCTCCCCACTCATGTCCTTAATTCAATCACATCTGTGAAGTTCCCTTTGCCAGGTAATTAATATATTCATAATTTCTAGTATTCAAGAAAAGGACATGTTTGGGTAGATGAGGGGCATTATTCAGCCTATCATAATGTTCAATATAAAACACAAGGTTAACTTGTCTTGAATTAACTTATTTTGACCACTCCTGCTAAAGTACTCATATTTTAAATATTAAAGGGAACAAGAAATTCTGCATAAATATTCCTTTTTTTTTTCTCTCCAATACTTGGGTTTCATACTAATCACCTGAAACGTACATTTGTGACAGATATGAAAATATAGTTGGACAGTTGAGAAATACAGAAATATGTGATTTCAGTTGCTGACTCAATCTCTTCTTGTTAAACCCTGAAAATTTGACATTTGAAAGAGAAAAGCTATGTAGCAGTTCTACTTTGTAAAATATCCCTCCAGTTTGGGGACATAGAATTTTACAAGGCTCCAAATGTCCCATAATCAAGCTTTAAAATGGGTAGTCAAACACAAAAAAGGGGGTTCTTTGGAAAGGACAGTGACAGGGATTTTCAAATTCTTTACATGCTCTTTGAGAAAATATTTAAATGGAAAAAAATGATGGCCTTTCTGAGTTAAAACAGTTCCAATCTCTTCAACAGATCACTGCACAAGAATGAACAGCTGCTTATTGAAATTCTGCCTCCTGGAAGCACCTCCAGTGCCCTCTTGTTCAGTGAAAGTCTGTAGCATTAATCAGCTATAACTTTACAAAAGCCAGGGACAAGCACAAAAGCTCAGTGTTACGGACAGGTGATCGCCATGTGAGCTCAGCATAGATGATTTCCCCATGTTGTTCAAGGCACTCCAAGGACTCCAGTGCCACCACCTCAGTGCTCTGGTCTTTCTGCTCCCCTGCTCTTGGATTGCTGACTTGTAGTGTGTCCCCAAGAACTGAACATCTTCAATTGGCTTTAAAAAGCTTGATGGGTTGACATGTCAGTACAAGCCTCTAAGCCTTTATCTAAAAACATTAGAGACCAATGTATTCAGAAATTTGGGGTTTTAAAAAGAAAATTCAGAGCATACATCATATATTAATACCTCCTGAGGGCATGGATCAGCACATCTTAACATTTCTGTGGCAAAATATATAAATAGCTTCATCAAATAGAATAAACCAAGATTATGAAAAAAACTTTCTCATGCACATTCAGGTCAGCTCATGCTGCTAATTTAGCTTTAGAAAAATTTCCTAGAGCCTTTTGTATTTTAGAATCTCAGACAATAGATTGTGAAATTATATTGCAAGTTGGTTGGGATTTTATTATTCTAATTATTATTATTACTTCTTGTTATTTTTGTGGAATCACATTCAAGTGGGATCTCAGGGAGAGTTCCAAACACCTAGGGTCAGTGGAAAGACTTTTAGTGACATGGAGCCTCCTTTTCACTCTTCCAATATGGAAACCTAGCACAGAGAACTCAACTGACTTGACGAGGTTGTAAAAGATCTCCAACCTAGATATTAGGATTTGATATCACACAGACCTAGGCTGAGCCCAGCCCTAACTAAACTTGTCATCTCAGAAAATTCACACTTCATCTTATGCCTATGTTAAAGGTTTTCCCTTCATTGTGAAAAACTCTTCACTTCTAAGGCTGTTAGAAGCATTAAATGTGCAAAAATAAGTGCAATATATTCATATATTTGGCAAAGTGAATTGCACATAGGTTGTGCTCAATAAACAGCAACCATTGCTATCATTAGGGTGATTTATGATTGTTATAGATCTAATTAAATTAGATTCAGTAACTAGTCACTGAATCTTTCCATGAAAGGTACTGGACTAGGTCACAAGGATGAGCAATGTAGAATTATCTGCTCCGTGGGACTCTCTTATACCTATGTTGTGAGTACTTAGCAGAGTCTTTGATGCATGCTAGACAGTCAGTATGCTTAGTTGCATGTAGAAATTGCATACAAAAAGGAAAATCACAGCTACAAAGCTTCACTTTGGATATGGTGGTGCTAAAGGGAAGGATAGAGTAGAAGTTGGATTAAGAAGGTGGGGAACTATGAGCTCACCTTTAAACTGAACAAGAAATTGATTCCTGATCAAAATAAAAAATGAACCAGTAATGTCAAGAAAGTAGGCACTGAATCCACAGCAGAGGGTCAAAGGTGACTCACTTCAAAGGCCAATGTTTCATGTGAACTCAGGAACTGTGTCTCATTTCAAAAGGAGCAGTCCCCCACTTTTCATGAAATGAACATTGTAAATTCATGGGACCATGTAAAACTGTCATCATGGATGTTCTTGTGTAGGGAATTACAACTTAACCATGGAGAATTCTTCAGGATCGGCGAAGGCCCTTCAGAGTGGGAAGTATGAGGAGGTATGGAGAGGTAAGCACCCTTCCGCCCAGGTCACACAGGTGCCCACCCTGTGTTTAAAGAACACTTCTTAAATTTTCACTGGAGACACTTCCCTTGCCCCACCTACTCCCAGCCCTATGAGTAGTACGAAATCTCTTCCAGAAGAAAAGGTACAAATAAAAGATCATTTTTAAAAAGCCATATGTTGTAGTGCAGAGACTGGCAAACTTTTCCTGTAAAGGACCAGCTAGCAAATATTTTAGGCTGTGTAGGCCATATGGTCTCTGCCCCAACTACTCAATTCTACTGTTCTAGTGGAAATGCAACAACAGACTACATGTAATGAATGGGTATGGCTGTGTTCCAATAAAACTTTATTTAAAAAGGCAGGTGGCAGGCCAGATTTGGCCCTCAGGTCACAGTTTTCCAACCCAGTTACATGGAAACTAGCCAGACCTTAGATGTAGATTCCAAATCTACCATATCCAAATATGCAGATTTGGATATATGCCTGTAGAACATGATCATACCTTACTTATTTGGTGTGAGGGCTACAGAATATGTGTGCAAAAGTGCCTAATAAATAACAGGCACTTAATAGGGCAGTGGATAGTTCCTTTAATTACAAAGCATAATAAGAATAATAGCTAACATTTACTGAGTGTTTATGATATGTCAGGGACAGTGTTAAGCATTTTATAAAGATTATTTCATTTAATCTTCCAACAATTCTCTGAAATATGAACTGCTATAGCATTCCTTCCTACTCATGGGGAAACTAAGCCAAGAGATACTTACTCAAGTATTAGGTAATGTAGCTGGAACTTCATGTCCAGTAAGTAGACTCTAGGGGCTGTAGTGTTAACTAACCCCTGTACTATGGTGCCACTAATCCTGGTCCACTTGAAATGCTCAGGACCATCTCAGTTTCTCCAGGGCTTTTCATACTCATCCCAGGTTATACAACTGAAAATAGATCTCTACAACTTGAAATTCAACTTAACATTCAGATAACATCTTACATAAATAAAGCCCGTACTCCAACTCCTTCCCAACTCTATAATGCCCCCCCCACTGCAAGAATATCTCCAGAGTCATGGAAAGCTAAAATATTTTTTAGAAAGATAATGTAAACCCATTTCAAAAATTTCATCCTATAATCACTCCGAAAATTTGCAGTTTCAAAGCTACACGACAGAATAGCACACTGGATTAATTATGCCAGACTGCAGCAATAACCTTGAATTAAAGCTGCAACCTTCTATTTTTAAGAAACACTTGCCTTTCTGGTTGATGAAACCTGTCGTCCCATCAGGTAACAGACGTGACCAGGAAATAGAAAAGCGGTAATGAGTCAATCCAAGCTGTTTGATACATTTCAAATCTTCCTCCCACAGAGTGTAGCTGCCACAAGCCACATCGCCAGTCTGGTTCTTGAAAACTCTCTCTCCTCCCTGATGGGTGAATGTGTCCCAGACACAAGGGCCTCTTCCATCTGCATCCCAGCCTCCTGAGAAAAGGAGAAAATGAAACGGTTACACTCTTGACATCAAGAGGCATATGTGGAATGTAAATATTTGTCACAAAAAGAACATACCTCATTAACTCAATGTACCATATTTATAACTTTAAGATGTGCCTTTAAAACAACACGCATGAGTGGATTATGTGTTTAGCTGTCCTTGATCCTGAAGCTCACCAGTGGCAAATGAAAAATTATCTCATAGCACCTCTGCATAGCAGGCTTTCATGGTTCATTATCTGAAGATCTTTCAGCCAGTAAACAGAGGCAGGCCCCAACTTATGAATGTTTGAGTCAAAAACACCACCGTCTTGGGAATATCTCTACTTGCCATGACTGATACCCCTTGTCCTCATGTATCATGTAGACTTGGGAACTTATCTCCGGCCCCCTGTGCTTGAACACTATTCTCCTGTTATCTCACCATGCAGCCTGTTGGCCCAGCCTACTCTTTGTAGTAGTTTCCTTCTTTGATTGTTAGTAGTATTCAAACTGTCTTCATTCAGACCTCCGTTAATTGAACAAATGTTTTGTGTCAAGCGCTATGCCTAGTACAAGAAGTTTCAGAACTACACTGTGTCTCAGATCCATTGGGAACTTAACCTCTTAACCTAATAGGCAACCATAAAACAGCCAAGAAAGGCCCTTGCCTTTACAGAAACCATGGGGAAGGGCATTTCTTCCAACGTGAGCTAGAGTCAAGGAAATTGGTTTCCTATTCAATGTTTCTGTAAACCTAAAACTGAACTAAAATGTAGTCTTTCATTTTTAAAAAATAAATATAGTGTATTTATCATGTTTTGTATTTTTAGGCATGTGTAAAAATAATCTGTATGTTTTCTAAAGATACACAAATGAAGTTAAAGTATAGCAACATGCTTAGAAATGATAAATGCTGACTAGTTGTTACCTCTGGGGGAGAAAGTAGGAAAATGGAAATGGGGAGAGTTATAAAGGGTCTTCAACTGCATTATCTGAAGATCTGAGAATGTATTCTTATCAAATGTACATTGTATAATGATAACGTATACAATATACTTAGGTTTTATTCCTTAAATAAGGGAGAATATATATGGAGGCTGCTTTATTACATTGTGTACCATTCCTGTTTATAAGCTTAAAATGTTTTATCAGGTTTGCTATATAAGAACAGATTTCAACAAAAGCCAATAAAAGCAACTACGAGAAGATCTTTCAGGTACTCCCAAGCTTCGGCATGCTCCTACTTTGTGCACAGTTCAAACAAGATCAGATGTAGTCCTCAGCCCAACAGGACAGCATGGACAGTAAGAAGTCAAGGGAGGAGACCAGAGAATAGCTACAAGAGGAATGCCAACAAAAGAAAAATGACCTTCAGCCTCAAGGTAGGACACTACATAGCTGTACAGAGAAGTCATGAATAGTAAAAACCATTGTACTCTGGAATCATGTAATTACAGAGGCATATAGTTCTACACATTCCAATGGCTCTCAACTCGTCTATGTTTGAAGCTTAAAGGAATGACAGTAAAAGAATTCTGGTATTCCATTTTAGAAATGTTTAAACATGAAAATACAATGTTTCACACAGAACGCTCATGGTTCTAGTAATTGTTTTGATAAAGGAAGAGACTTACTCTCAGAGAATCTAAATTGTGACAGCTGATAAATTTTCAGCTACTGGGGATATGTTAGAGAAAGTATGTGTGTGTTTACTGACAATTTTACTGATAAAGAATGTGTAAGACACAATTTACAAATAATAAAAAAAAGCACAGTGGTTTTTACTATAAATTCCAAATAGGAGACGATTTTCACAATGTGCTCTTGAAATTTTTGCCAAACTCATATATTAGTAAACAACCTATGGTTACAACCAGATACACTTAGGCAGTTCTCACATTACTCTAGGTTGGTATTTTTGCTTAACTTCCCAAGCAAAATAAGAAGGAAATAAGAAAGTTGGATCAGAACTTCACTATTCATCAGTGACATAAGCTAATTCTTTTTTAACTCAATTAACAGCTTTCAGACACCAGAAGTGTAGTTCCTCATTGTGCTATGTAGAAGACACACCTACGAAATGATTTCAAGTTCAGTCTGCATTAACATTTTCTCTATCATTTCCCTAGCTCTGGACCACAAACACAATGATAGATCAAATACCGCCTCGTAGCACTTGCCAATATGTGCGCTGTAAACACCTCTTACGTTTCCAGTTTCAAGCAACTGATGGATATCACTTGAAGGCAGAGCTGGGGAAGATGAGCAATATCAAACCGTTTTCATACGTCTCCAGACACAACAAAAGTAAAAAACCCTCCAGGACATATATAAGAGTAAAATATAATCAAATAAATACTGGTTTTGACTATTTATTAACTTAGTTTTTAATACAGATTATTTACCTATAAGTTTATACAATTTAATTTTAATCATGGTTATGTCCAAAACTTAACAATAGGCATTCATGAGCCAGCACAACCTGGTTTCACCACATCAATGATAAGCAACATGCGTAAAATCAGTTAGTAGCACTGCCAAGTTTTGTATCCAGATCTTTGGCATCCAAGTTCTTCCACTTGATCAGGTTGCTACTAGTAATCACGGCTCAGACTGATAAAGAAAGAGTCAAAGGATATCCATGGTATTCAACGTCGGAAGTCTAAGAAGTGCAAAATATATTTTATATATTTTGGAAAGCAGTGAATCTGCCACAACTGAAGCAAGTTAGACAACTTTAAGAAGTAAATGTCACTTAGGAAAATGCATTTATGTGGAGTAGCTTGTACTCTGTGTGTGTCAGCCGAACAAAATATGTCCAAATAACTTTGTTTCTGTGAGAACTAAGCTATGAATAGAAAATTAACAACTGTAATTTAAATCTTGATAAGAACATATTGTAGCCAGTGCTCACTAGGACTTTATCATAAATCTTGCTGAGTGTATAATATTAATAACGCATTTGTTTATTAAGAATTTCCTCTAATTGCAATTATACCCACATTCTAAAAGTGTGATTGTTGTTTAAGATGAATGAGATTACCATTTCCGGATGGACTATATACTCTGAGCCATACTCAAAACTATAATTCTTGGATAACATAAAATATATTTATAATATCATTAATTCGGCAGAAAGTTAGGTGATCCAGGCAAAAAATGAAAAGCATAATTTAGAGATATGAGTGAGTACTGAAGCAGGATTTTGTCCTGAAAATGTAGTATAGAAGCTCAAATACATGTAGGTATTAGTGATATGTCAACACTAGTATAAAAAGGCCAGGAGAGGAAAAATAGAAGTGTGCTGTTGAAGTAGTCTTAAGTTATATATGAAGTGAAATAATGTCAATTGATGGTGACAGGAGACATACAGATATATAGATATGGATAGATTCGATATAGATAGATATATTTAATTCCTACAGGAAACACTAAAGGTTACAAAAAGGGAATAATCACTAGTAAACCAACAAAGAATATGTCATAGAATCATAAAGCATAATCTGAAAAAGTCAGAAAAGGAGGACAAGAGAATAAAAAAATAAAAAAAGTAAGATGTTATATTTAAAGCTAACCATGTCAATAATGTCATGAAACATAAATAAGTCTAAACAAACCAACTGAAGTGATTATCAGACTGAATAATCAACTGTGTATACTACAAGAAATTAACTTGAAATAGACACAAGATTAAAAGTAACAAGATAAAAATATATATATATATATATATATATATATATTACATAGATAGATATAGATTTAGATATAGATCATGGTACCAACAGTTAGAAAGCAGGACTATTTATATTAATATCAATGTAGATTGCAGGGCAAGAATATCACCAATTATGAAGAAAGCCATTTCATAATATTAAAGGGAATCAGTCTATCAAGAGGACATAACCATGTTAGATTTCTATTCATCTAAGAACAAATACAAAAGATGAGTCAAAAACTGGTAAAACTGAAAGAAATCAACAGATCTATGGGTATATTAGATAAGGTAAAAAACTAAATAGACTATAGAATAATGGACAAAATATTTGACAAAATATTTTCTTCGCAGAAAACAACACCCATGTTTAGTAAACTTTTTTTAAACATGAGAGGATTAAAAATCTGGAGAATGCAAATGAAAACCACAACAAGATATAATTCTATACCCACACAGTTGTCATAAATTTAAAAGCTGGGCTATACCAAGCACTGGAGAGATTGTCACACAGCAGGAGTGTGTATTCATTGTTGATGGGAAAGCAATGTGGAGACATCTGGCAAAAATGAAGAAATACATAACGCATCAAAACATGGTCATTCACATATCACCACAGACTCTGTTTCTTCAAAGGTGGACCAGGAGGTGTGCAGAGCCATGACGGCAGCAGCAAAAAAGAAAAGGATAAAGAGGAAGAAAAGCATTGCCTACAGTCCAAATTTCCTTTGTCCAGAAAATAAAGAAATGCTATAACATTCATAGAAAAAAAGACTATAGAAAAGTAAAAAGTGAATGAACCACATTTTTCCAGATCAACCCACCTAAATCTCCCAAATATAATATTGGGAGGGAAAAGCAAGCTGTGGAACATATACATTATATATCTCCAACTTTATAACATCCAAAAGACATAAAAGTCAATAACAAATTGGTTTTCATAGTTTTTTTTATTTTAAAGAGAATAAAAACTAGCAAAACAACACCAATGAAGACAAAAACAAAAACAGCACAAGAACAACAAAAATGATACATGACCTCAAAACAGATAGGAATTAACAATGGTTACTGCAGTACATACTGTTATCTTCAACAAAGTTGCTCAGTTCACCAGATGTAAAATTGTAAGATTGATCAAACAATCAAAGACAGTAACAAGTAACAAAAAATCAGAAATGATACAGAGCTTCACCATACAAGGTGGTAAGAATTCAACAATGGTTCTTATACTGCATATTGTTGTCTTCAAATCAGTCCTTCTGATTACCAGATACAAACATGCAAAATTGGTCAA